GGAGGAGGAGGAGGAAGAGTAGGAGAAGAGGAGAAGGAGGAGAAGAAGGAAGTGTAGGAGGAGGAACAGGAGGAGGAGCAGGTGGAGGAAGTGTAGGAGGAGGAGCAGGAGGAGCAGGAGGAGGAGGAAGAGGAGAAGGAAGAGGAGGAGGAGGAGGAAGAGTAGGAGAAGAGGAGAAGGAGGAGAAGAAGGAAGTGTAGGAGGAGGAACAGGAGGAGGAGCAGGTGGAGGAAGTGTAGGAGGAGGAGCAGGAGGAGCAGGAGGAGGAGGAAGAGGAGAAGGAAGAGGAGGAGGAGGAGGAAGAGTAGGAGAAGAGGAGAAGGAGGAGAAGAAGGAAGTGTAGGAGGAGGAACAGGAGGAGGAGCAGGTGGAGGAAGTGTAGGAGGAGGAGCAGGAGGAGCAGGAGGAGGAGGAAGAGGAGAAGGAAGAGGAGGAGGAGGAGGAAGAGTAGGAGAAGAGAAGGAAGAGGAGGAGAAGGAAGTGTAGGAGGAGGAACAGGAGGAGGAGCAGGTGGAGGAAGTGTAGGAGGAGGAGCAGGAGGAGCAGGAGGAGGAGGAAGAGGAGAAGGAAGAGGAGGAGAAGGAAGTGTAGGAGGAAGAGCAGGAGGAGGAAGAGGAGAGAAAGAGAAGGAAGAGGAGGAGAAGGAAGAGGAGAAGGAGAAGAAGGAAGAGGAGAAGGGGGAGGAGGAAGAGGAGGAGGAGGAAGAGGAGGAGGGGAAGGAGAAGGAGACATACCGTGCAAGTCCCTGTTGAAATCATGGAGTCTTCTGATTTCACCTTCAAGTTTGTTTCGCATCGCCTTGTCTAGTGACTCTCTCTTGGTGGTGATTTTCACAAGGTCCTCATAAGCTTCTGAAATCCTCTGAATTTCCATTTCGAACTAGGATAAAGGAGAAATTGATATCCAGTAAAAGGATGCATGTCAACCATTTGCGAATTTTATACAGTTAAAAAAAAGAAAAGAAATCCTGCCAGCCCTGTACCATTTCTGTGACTTTGCAACAAGAACTCCTTTACAACCATGTCCAAATGGGACTCCTTCCACAAACATTAAAAAGTCCAAATAATGCTGATCAACCAACCTCGGAAAGATGGAAGGCTGAGTCAACCTTGAGCTGGTCAGAATCAAATAGCCAAACTGCTGGCAGCTGGCAATCAGCAGGAGTAGCCTGCAGTACTGCATTCTAACCACTGCGCCACCACGACTCTTCAATAATAAATGTAATAATTAAATAAACAAATATAAAAGCTTTGATTGAGCAAAACTGTGATGGATGACAGAGATTGTGATCTCTTCTATCGAGTTTTACACAACATCACTTATCCCAAAAAGGAATAACATGAGAGCTATGGGTCAGTGGGTGTACCAGGTTACTATAGCATGATGTGTGAATCCAACTTTTGCAATTTGTGAATTGTAGTTTATGGCTGGAGTGAGCCATCTTAAGGGTAGTCTGGAGTCCCAATTAACTTTTTTGATTATTTTATTTTATTATATTATTTATGTTATTTTATTATTTATTCTATTTTATTGTTTTATTTTATTATTTTAGGGACGTGGTGGCTCAGTGGCTAAGACGCTGAGCTTGTCGATCAGAAAGGTCAGCAGTTCGGCGGTTCGAATCCTTAGTAGAGGAGCATATAAGGTGGAGCATATGCACCAAAGACAAATTCCTTGTGTGTCCAATCACGCTTGGCCAATAAAGAATTCCATTCTATTCCATTCCAGTATAGGTCTCCTGCGTGAGCAGGGGGTTGGACTAGATGACCTCCAAGGTCCCTTCCAACTCTGTTACTGTTAAACATTTCAGATATTACATTCTTTATTGTAGCTGCCTACCGTATAAACCAATTCAGTAAGCTCACATACAGCTTTTAAAATCTTCCATTTAATTTCAGAAATTATATTGTAGGTGTGGTCAAGGGGAATAGATGTTAGAATTTGAAGAATTACAGATCATTGGAATAAAGTAGGAGACAATTAATTATGAAAAATCATTCCTTCTAGGAGCACACTGGGCTCAATGGCTCAGTGGCTAAGACGTTGAGCTTGTTGATCAGACAGGTCAGCAGTTCAGCAGTTTGAATCCCTAGCGCCGCATAACAGAGTAAGCTCCTGTTACTTGCCCCAGCTTCTGCCAACCTAGCAGTTCGAAAGCACATAACAAATGCAAGTAGAAAAATTTGTTTTATTTATTGTTTTGATTGGGACAAGGATGCAAACAGAAGCCAGGTGGTTCTAATAGGAGATGAATATCTTCAGAACCCCGCTCAGCAGAATGGTCAACTAACTCTTAAATATATAACAAGAGCAACTTACTAGATTTGGAAGAAGAAGAAATGACCCTCCATCTCTGCCAGGAGACCACTAAGGTCAGAATGTAGAGCTACTTCATGATAGCCCCTTTTCCAAACCAAGAATGCTTCGCTGTCTCTATTGATTATGCATGGACCACTTGCTAAAAGCTTAATTAAGTTGCTATGTCGAGAGACGTATGCTCTGAACGTTTTGGGGTGGGGGAACTCTACTCTTTTATATGTGAAAATGTACAAAATTGGACCACTTCCCAGGAAGTTAAAAGGGCAGCAGTCCAGGCGACAAAGCCAAAGCCTCCCAAAAGCTGGTTCAGGGCAGAACATTCTGGGAACCCCTTTTTGTGGCCTACGAGAAAACCACGGCTGGATAAACGCTCTGTGTCCGCGGAGAATTTGGCAAGCATTAGAAGCGGGCTGACAGGAGGGTGACTGAGGCGTTACAAAACGACATTGCAGACATTCACTCTGAACGCTGGTATCCCTCAGGCAAACTGCAATAATATTGTTCCCTTATAAAGGACTGGGAATAATTTCAGAGCGCTATTCTATGATAAATACCGTATTTTTCAGAGTATAAGACGCACCAGAATATAAGATACATCAAGATTTTGAAGAGGTAATTTAAAAAAAAAAAAATTTGCACTCTGCAGACCTCCCGAACCCTCGACACGCCACTTTTGTGAAAAATGGAGCATGCAGAGAGTTTGAGAACCCTGCAAAGTGTTCCTGCGGGGGGGGGGCTCGTTTTTTGCCATAAAGGGGGCATGCATAGCCCTTAGGAGGCTTGTAGAGTGCTCCTAGGGGCTGGGGAGGGCAAAAACAAACAAAAACGGCCCATTTTCTCCTCATTTCTGTCCTCCCCAGCCCCCAGGAGCACTTTGCAGGTGTCCTAATAGCTGTGCACATCCATTTTTGCAAAGGGGCGGGGTTTCGGGAGGCAAAAAAATTATGTATTCGGTGTATGAGACGCACCCAAATTTTCACTTCTTTACCTCCAAGCCACATGAGCGCCTGTTTGCCACTGCCCGGCTCACACGGCTTGGCACCTTCGAAATGCCAGTGAATGGCGCTCTGCACGGCTGGAGAGGGGGGTTGCGCAAGCATCTGTTCCGCTCCCACTTGCGCGGCTCCCAGCCTCATGATGTCCTGGCCCACCTCTCCCTGCAGAGCCCGGACACCTCCGCTGTTGTGGGCCAGCTGCCGGCAGAGCATACTCCCAGAGCGTACAACCATAGATCGTACGCCCAGAGCAGCCACTGCTGGAAGACTCGGTTTGGAAGCCGCCGAGAAAGCCATGCTAGAATGGTGGTGGCGGCAGCAGCGGAGGTGCCCTGGCTGTGCAGGGAGAACTGGGCCAGGACATTGTGAGGCTGGGAAGTGCGCAAGTGGGAGCGGAATAGATGCTCACGCAACCCCCCCTCTCCAGCCGTGCAGAGCGCCATTCACTGGCATTTCGAAGGTGCCAAGCCATGTGAGCCGGGCGGTGGCAAACAGGCGCTCATGTGGCTTGGAGGTGCCCCTAGGTCAGTGAATGGCGCTGTGCCCGGCTGGAAAGGGGATTTGCCGGGTGGCTGCTCGTGAGCGTGGTCGCTTCATGGCTGTTGTGTTGCGCTGCTATGACAGTACAACACAGCCATTCACCCATGAGGCTGTGCCCGGCTCTTTGGGAGCCCGCCCGCAAGAGAGCAGCCGCCCGGCAACCCCGCCCCCCCTTCAGCTGGGCACAGCGCTGCTCACCAACCTAGCGGTATCCTGAAGGCACCAAGCAACGCAATCACTTTTACCTCCCCGCTGGTTCCCGCAGCTTGGCACCTTTGGGACACCGCTAGGTTGGTGAGCGGCGCTCTGCCTGACCGGGGGTGGGGGGTTGTCCAGGGGGCTTATTTGCAGGGGAGAGCTTATATTTTTGCCCACCAGAAAAATGTGGCATGGTCATTATCAGGACATGTCATATTTTCGGGGAAACACGGTAGGTAGGCAGAAGCTGGGACAAGTAACAGGAGCTCACTTTGTTACACAGTGCTAAGGACCCATCCCTTGTGCCAATACGACATGCCTAATAAATCTCTACTTTGAGGAATATGCTTGCCTGGGAGTTTTGATTCTGTTGGGTGTGTTAACTGGAACCCTGACACTCGCTGCCCAGAGGCTGGATGCATCATGCGCCGGCCACGCCCACCCCCAGTTTAACAAAGGGGGGGAGTCATGATACGTCATGTAATGTCACTGTGACACCCCGAGTTTGATACCCTTTGGTTACATCCAGTGTAAGATAAGTAGGTAGGTAGCAGTGGTGGGTTGCAGGCAGTACACCTCGGTATGGGTGTACCGGAGCCTGCCCGGAGCACCGGGTACCGTTCCGGTATGGTGCTTCAGAGGCCCCACCTGCCCATGCTCCTTACCTGTCTTTAAACCCTTCGGCGCTTCTGCACACACGCATGGCACGTACAACACCTGTGCGATGCTCCGCCGAGCAGCTGGAGTGTCGCGGAGGCTCACAGAGGCATCGCTGGATAGTAAGGACACTGTGTGGAGGATGCCGGGCCCCGTTTCAATCGTACCGGTTGCAACGGGATCTGGAACCCACTACTGGTAGGTAGGTACACCTGAATCCTCTCTATCCTGTCACCCACCTTCTGAAGCTTGTCTGCTTTCTCGTAGTAGCCCTCCAGCTCCTTCTGCAGGGCTTCATTATCTTCAGACAACATCTCCACCATTTTCTGTGCTCGCTGTACTATCATGAAGGCATCTGGTGTGAGGGGCTGCTGGCTAGGCGGCGTTGCGGGCAGAGACTGGGATGCTGTGGCCATTGAGAGAGGCGGCAGAGACGCGGAGTGCAGGGGGCCACTAAGCGAGGAGGTCTGGGAGGACATTGGGCTGTGCTCCCGGGGTGTTGGCAGCGATGGAAAAGACGATGCACACTGACGACTGCAGGAAGAGGAATTCATTTCAAATGGGTTACTGACACTTAAAGAGATCCGTTGCAAAGAGCTTGTAATTACCGGAATTATCGAAAGAAGAAATTGCTTATAATATTTAATGCATTATTTCTTTATGTAATCAAGAAAAGAGAAAGACTGTGCAAGGAAGTGAGCTTTTTACAATAGGAGACCTAAAGAAATAAGTCAAAATTACCTGGTGATACCATATTCTGGGGGACCCTGATATCGGACAATAGCTACTTCGCTCCTCGCTGGCTGTGATGTTGAATAGGAGGCCTTTGTCATTTCTTGAAGTGTTCCAGGATGCTGTTCATTAAAAAACACCCCCGGCTCTTGACTTTTGCTTCCTGGAGAGCTTCCCTGCTTGATCTTGAATGGATAATCTGGAGGGGGACCCCTCAGATCCATGCCTTTATTGGGAGCCGGGGAAGGAGAAGGCCCGCTGGATTTGACCCCTTTGCTTCTCCCCGAGCAAGGAAGAAGCTGTTTGGCCCCGTTCCTTTCCAAGGAGAGCTGCATGATTCTCTCGCTCAAGGAGCGCACATGGCCTTGTTTCAGTTCCTTCAGGGCTTCATCTTTGTGGGCCTGTCCACTGTTGGCACGGGCCAAAGTTGGCCTACCTTCCATTTTAGATTTTGGACCAGTGCTGCTGGCCATGTAGAAACTGGGCCCAACAACACTAGGCTGCTGACTTCTAAAAAACTGAGACTGAGCTTTGGCTTCTTCGTAAGAAGGTAATTCTTCATTGTTCTGCTGAGGCTGAGAGCCTCTGGTCTGCTTCTCCATCACCGTGTTGTCCCCTTGATGTTCCTGGCCTTGTGGTTCCTGCCGTGCTGACTGCTGGACCATTTGTGGGTCATCCGGCACAAGGTTTTCCACCGAAGAAGACAGGGTGCTGCTGGCAGTGGAGTTGGAGGGCCCTGCACTCCCCGTAGCTTGGTGCTGGAGAGCCAGCAGGTTCATATTCTCGTTGGGGTTGCCATAACGCAACTCCTGGATTAACCGCTGTAAAACAGTGCCAGGGACAACATCCTCCGAACCTCTCATTTCCACCTCTGAAGCCTGGAGAAAGCTTGTGGGGTAGAAGGTGCACAAAGGGTCTTCGGCTGAGGCCCAGGTGCCAAGCAGAAAGAAAGGAAAGAGATGTGGGGGGAGGGGGGGAGAAAGGTAAGATGGATGGTCTGTAACTTTTATAAATAAATCAATAAATATTATCTAGAAGTTGGTCCAAGTGAGGATTGTCTCAAAGGTACTTTCCCCCCCCCCAAAAAAAAATGCAACTGAATTTTCTTAGTTTTTTTCCCTTTGAAAAGCTTTCACTTCTCAACCAAGGAGCTTCTTCAGTTCTATAGAGCATTTAGAACTGATGAAGCTTCTTGGATGAAAAGCGAAATATCTTCAAA